AAGAAGAGATGTGAATGATCCCAGAGCCCCCAAGAAGTTTACTGGAATACATTACATCTCTTCTTACAGGCTCGTTCCTGGAGGGCCAGATAAACTCGAAACATAGTCTTTGAACTCTATCAACGAAACTCTTAGGTGGGATGAGGACTGAGCCTACATACCACACCTTTGACAAAGCTATCATGTTACAAATTGTAGACCTGCCGAAAAGTGATAGGTGTCTAGATTTGAACAGATTCAAAGAACTACGAATCTTATCCAAAAGCTCCCTCCAAAAACGAGTGGCGTCACCGAAAGGAACACCCACCAGCTTAGTACCATCTATCCAGCTTATGCCGAAGGGATGGTCAGCACGGTTCGCCCATTTACCAAAGAATAATCCTTTAGATTTAGACAAATTAAGTTTAGCACCAGATGCTCTACCATAGAGCTGACAAACGTCAAAAACTCTCTGGATAGAAGCATCTGTAGTGCAAATAACCGTGGTATCATCGGCATAAACGGATAGCTTTGCAATAACCGGCGGAGAGTCCGGAATAGCAAGACCAACGATCTTCGGATCCTTACGGACACGAAGCAAAAAGGGTTCCAATACCAGGATGTAAAGCAGTGGTGACAGGCTACAACCCTGACGAACAGAGCGTGTAACCTGAAATGGCCGAGAAATATGCTGGTTGACGATCACAGCCGAGGAAATATCACTGTATAAAATTCGTACCCACTTTTGGAAATTAGCCCCAAAATTAAAATGTTTTAAAGTTAAAAATAAAAAATCATGGCTGACCCTATCAAAAGCCTTCTCCTGGTCCAGACAGACGAACGCTAAAGGTAAGTTTCTCTCCTGAACATAGTCCACAACTGAACGCAACAGATGACCATTGTCGAGAATTGATCTTCCTGGAACAGAACAGGTCTGGTCAATCCCGACAATGTCATCTAAAACCCTTCCAAGTCTTACAGATAAAACTTTAGACAAAATCTTGTAGTCTATGTTCAGGAGAGATATAGGACGCCAATTCTTGACGCTCTCGGGATGCTCAAAGTTCTTGCAGAGCAAAGTTATGTAGGATAACTTCTGAGAAGATGTTAACGACTCTGCATCAAAAACAAGATGGTAAAGCTGAACTAGAACATCGCCAAGAACGTCAAAATTGGCAAGATAAATTCCTTCGTAAGTCCATCTGGACCAGGAGACTTCTCGTTCTTCATG